TACCTTGCAAGCGCGAATGGCGGCTCTGCCCTGCCCCTCCTACCACACCCATGTACCACTGGGTCGCGGGTCTGCCCACCTTGCGGGTGCGGTGGCGGCTCCGCTCCGCCCCCTCTCCAATTGGGGTCACGCGGTCACCACGCTGGCGAGCCGCTGGGCCTGCTCCGGGCGCTGGCGGCGGCCCGTCTCCTCCCCTCTGGCTCGAGGACAAATTGAGGAGACTCGGGTGTTTGTGCCTCACCCCGCCTACCAGGAGACCAACTGTTTATATCTCTTTTTTTTCTTTGAAGGAAAGGTTCTATGCATATTTCTTCCCCATGTATGTACTTAGAAAAAGTAGCCTTTTGGTCCCAGAGGAAGGAATGTTGATTGGTCTAAGCCACTCACTGCAATGGGAGTGATTGGCTTTGGCATGGGCATGGGCATGTGGTATAGATGTGATAAAAGATATGTAAGGGAAAATCTAGAAGGGACTTGAGGGTAAGAGTTTATTCTCTGTTTAAAAAAAAAAAAAACATGATCTAGTGTGGTATGTGGTTGTGTAAAGGTGGCTTGATTATGAGATTAGCAATTATCTTGAGACTATGAAGACAAATCTGAGGGTAAAAGAGCTTGGACTTTTGATACTGTAATTATCCTGGAATCACTCATGTCTCCCAGCTTCTTATGTGAAAGTTTATTTTATTTTAGCTACTTTGATTATTTGTTATTAACCACCAAAACATTGTGTTTGTAGGAAATTATCAGTAAGATAATTTTGTGATGAAGATTCATGAATTTGTCTTCTTGTGCCTAAATGCCAGGGTTGACAGAAGTGGAATTTGGGGGCTAAAAGTTTATATTCAGTGTTAGTAGATGTCAATTTAATTCTCCAAACACTAGTATTACCAGAGGTTTTATATTTCTCTACATTAGATATTTGTTTAATACCTAGTGTTGTCAAGTGTTAGTGTCTTGGAGAATTATCTAGATTTGCATTTTCAAGATTATTAGTAAGCAACTTTTCTGTTTATATCCTTTTATAGTTGTCTATGTAATGTGGGAGGTTTTTTCCCTGATTGATGAATGTTTGTATATTTTGGATATTAATCTTATTTATACAAATCTTATTTATACACATTATATACACACACACACACACACACATACACATATATCGCACATATCTTCTAATGTATGGCTTGTCCTAAGCTTAGTTTATCATGTTCTTTATCATAGAGTAATTTTTAAAGAATTACATTTAATTAAGTCAATCTTTTTTTTTTTTTTTTTTTTTTTTTTAGCATCTGCTTTCTGTTTCTGGTCTTGAAAATCTTTCACTATCTCAAATCATAATGATATTTTCCTACTTATAAAACTTAAGAATTTTGCTTTTCACATGGATGTTTAAGACACTTGGAATGACTTGTGTATGGTGTGAAGGACTGTTTTTACATCAGGATTATTGATTCTCTTTTTAGAATATTTTCTATTCCACTTCCCTGTATGTCTGCCCCTGTGCCACTAATATTATTTTAGTTAGTGTAACTGTATAAAAAGAAGTCTTTATTACCTTACTAATCTTCTGAATTGTCTTGATTGTCTTTGGATTTTTGCTCTTCCATATGAAATTTTAAATTTGCTTGTGGAGTCCCACTGAAATTAAACAGCTACCAGGACATTGATTGGCATTTAAGTAAATTTGAATATGTATCTGGAAGGCTATACGTCTTATAATGTATTCCATCCACTCAGATTGATGGTATCTCTCTCCAGTTTTTGAAGTTTTGCTTTACCATCTTTTAGTAATGTCTTATGATTTTTGCTACCGATTTTTGCTGTTGAATTTATATCGTTGGTTCCAGAAGCCATATAATTTTGTATATAATTATATTTTCTCATTAGTTTTCACTGGAGAAAATCTGATTTTTCAATAAACTTTGTAGGGCTAGAAGGTGTAATTTAGTGGTGGACTGTGTGCTTAACATGATGCACAAGGCCCTGTGTTCAATTCCCGGTACTGAAATAAACCCACACAAAGATAAAAAAATAAGAATAAAAACTTTCAGTTGAAATGGAACGTGCTCACAAAGTACACAGAGCACGAGTGTTGTGACTTATCACAAAGTAAACATTTGTGTAAATGCCACTCATGAAAGAGAACATTTTCGCACTTTGGAATCCCCCTCACTCTAGTCTTTTCCCAATTATTATCTCCTAACTTCCTTTCAAAAAGTAGTGATTATCTTGGTTTCAGTTTACTTGTTTTTAACTTTATATAGATATAATTATACAGTCTTTGATATTCACCATCTTTTGCTCAGTCTTTTATTTGTAAAATTCATCTTTGTTTATCTGTAAATCTATAGTTTCAATTTCATTCCTGTGTAGTAACCCATTGTAAGGTTATTCCGTCTTTTCACTCTACTGTTGATAAACATTTAGTTTGTTTTTTTTTTTGTTGTTGTTTTTTTCAGTTTTGAACTGTGATAATATTGCATGAACATTCCCGTTGATATCTTTGGGTATCCATGTGCATGCATTTCTTCTGAGCATATGCCCAGGAGTAGAATTTCTGAGCAAGTAGATATGCATGCTTAACTTTTGGCAAATCTTGCCAAACAGGTTTCCTAATAGGTATCAATTTACATTTTTACTGGGAGTGTATGCGTGTTCCAATTAGCTCTATATTCTTTCCTACTTTTGTTTGGCAGTCTTTTATTTTTTTTTAGTAATTTTTGTGGGTATATAGTAGTTTAATTGTGTTTTTAAAATTTCCTGATGATTATTGAAATTGAACATGTTTTCATATACTTCTTAGTAATTTGTATACTCTTATGAAGTGCTACCTATTTTTCTGTTGGATTGTTTGATAATTTTTGTATTGATTTGTAGGAGTTCCTTATATACTTTTGATTGCACATGGTGATCCTCTTCTCTCAATCAATGGCTTGGCATTTTGTTTTGTTTTTGTACTATTGGAGACTTAACCCAGGGGTACTTTACCACTGAGCTACAGCTCTAGCCTCTCTTTTTAAATTCCTTTTAGTAATACACATAATATTAGGGTTCATTTTGACATAATTATTATGAGTATGGAATATAATTTGCTCTAATTCAGACCCCCAGTACTTCCCATTTTTCTCCCCATCTACCACCCCTGTTTCCTTCTCTCCACTGATCTTTCTGTTATTTATTTATAGATTTTTTAAAATTAGTGCCTTGTGTATATACATGAAAGTGAAATTCACTGTGGTATATTTATGTGTGGACATAGGAAAGTTAGGTCAGATTGATTGTTATTTGGAGATAAGTCATGCTAAATTATTGAGGCTGGCCTCAAACTTGTGATCCTACCTCAGGCTCCCAAGTATCTAGGATTACAGGCATGTGACACCACAACCAGATGCTTTTTTGTGTTTTTGGTGTTGTCTTTGCAAAAAAAAATTATTTTAATGAAATATATCATTTTTTCTTTATAATATCTTTTGTATACTGTCTTACAGGTCTTAAAATTAGTTTGTCTAAATAAATCTAGGGGTAGGGAGGGAGAGCATGGGAGGATGAGATTAATTCTAGATAGGGAAGAGAGGAGGGAAAGGGAGGGAGAAAGCGATTAGCAAGGATGGTGGAATGTGATGGTCATCATTATACAAAGTACATGTATGAAGACTTGAATTGGGTGTCAGCATACCTTATATACAAACAAAGATGAAAAATTGTGGCATATATGTTTATTAAGAATTGTAACGCAAAAAAACACATGTATAATGGCATAAATTGGTGTGAACATACTTTGTATACAGAGATACGAAAAATTGTGCTCTATATGTGTAATAAGAATTGTAATGCATTCCACAGTTGTCATGTATTTTAAAAAAATAAAATCAATTTAAAAAGGAGGGAGGAAAGATAGAAATACAGTTAATGAAGATAATAAATAGATTGAGAGACTAAATAAATAAATAAATCTAGATTTACACTTTCCAGCAACAAACTGTAGTGCCATGTAAATGGTGAGCACTTGGTCCAAATTTAGATATGCTGTAAATGTGAAATAATTTCTAATTTCAAAGACATGGCATAAAAAATTAAATATCTCAATAAATTTCAGATATAATGGATTAACTAGAGTCTGATATGAAATTAGATTCACTTGTTTATTTTAGAAAACTTTGACTCAACAATCTATTTTTAGATTCTATGAGTCTGCTATCCAGTGGAATTTTCTATAATGTAATGATGTGCATGTTCTATATCTGCACTGTCCAAAATGGTAGCCATTATCTACATATGGGAGTGTCTTGGCCATTATCAACTTTTTGTGTTTCACATAAATATTAAAAATAGCTCATTAATTTTCACAAAATAACTTCTAGAATTTTGATTGGGGATGTAATGAATCTATAGCTCTTGTAGTCATAAACATGGTAATAGCCATCTGCTTATTTAAGCCATTCATTTCTCTAATAATTGATAATTTTATGTAAAGGTCTTGTACATTTTTTGTTAGTTTTATTTCTATGAATTTGCTCTTACAAATGATCTGTTTCTTAATTTCATTCTCTATTCCTGGTACATAGAAATACAACTGATTTTACATTTTTGTTCTTATAGCCAGCAGCTGTACAAAATTAACTTATTGTTGATAATTCTTCTGGATTTTCTACAAATGCAATTCTGCCATTTGTAGTGAGTTTTAGTTTTTCTTTACTTTTTTTTTTTAAAATAAGGTATAAGATAGGAAGGAAGCCAACAGTACCTGTATAAATGTATGTGGACTCTTTGATGTACTTAAAAAGAGTCAGTAATCTTTGAGTCTTGAGCAATTTGTAATAATTTGAAGGAATGTACACAATTATGATTAAAAGGGACCATTTTTTATAGGGAATTGAAGGGGGAAAAATGATTCATAGCCTTGAAAAAATGGGATAAAACATTGGCAGTTTGTAGAGAGTTTGTTACTATTTTCAATGTGGCTAGGTATCAAATAATGCTTTCGTCTTTTTATATCCCTTTAGGAAAAGTAGAAATGAAGGTACATATGCACACAAAATTTTGCCTCATTTGTTTGCTGACATTTATTTTCCATCATTGCAACCATTGCCATGAAGAACATGACCATGGCCCTGAAGAGCTTCACAGACACCATCGTGGAATAACAGAATTGGAGCCAAGCAAATTTTCAGAGCAGGATGCTGAAAATGAAAAAAAATACTATATTGAAAAACTTTTTGACCGCTATGGTGAAAATGGAAGATTATCCTTTTTTGGTCTGGAGAAACTTTTAACAAACTTGGGCCTTGGAGAGATAAAAGTAGTTGAGATTAATCATGAGGATCTTGGCCACGATCATGTTTCTCACTTAGATATTTTGGCAGTTCAAGAGGGAAAGCATTTTCACTCACATAACCACCAGCATTCCCACAATCATTTAAATTCAGAAAATCAAACTGTGACCAGTTTATCAACAAAAAGAAACCACAAATGTGATCCAGAGAAAGAGACAATTGAAGTATCCGTGAAATCTGATGACAAACATGTGCATGACCATAATCATCGCTTACATCATCACCATCGATTGCATCACCACCTTGAGCATAACACGACTCGCCACGTTCATAACGATTCCATTACTCACGGTGAGCGCGGGGAGCCTCGCCATGAACCTTCAACAGAGACCAATAAGACACAAGAACAGTCTGGAGTTAAGCCACCAAAAGGAAAGAGGAAGAAGAAAGGAAAGAAAAGTGATGAAAATTCTGAGGTCATCACACCAGGTTTCCCCCTTACCCGTGATCAGGGTGAACAGTATGAACACAATCGGGTCCACAAAACTGATCGTGTACATAACCCAGCTCATTCTCATGTACATCTTCCAGAACATAGTGGTCACGATTCTGGTCACGGACACCAAGATCTTGATCCTGATAACGATGGTGAACTTCGACACACTAGAAAGCGAGAAGCACCACATGTTAAAAAAAGTGCAATTTATTCAGCTGCTAATCACAAAGATCATAATGAAGATGACCGTCAACATGAAGTAAGTATAAAAAGATGTCTGATGGTTGATGTGTAGCTCTCATAGAGTTGTGGAAAATTTTAGAGAAGAGACAAAATAGAATAGTTATTTATATTTAAACTCATTTCCACATGGAATATTGGGTAACATTCCTGGCCAAAAAAAAAATTAAGGAATCAGAGTCAGTATTAAGATTTTTTAATCTGGATTTTCATTTGTATTATTTGCCGCTTTTGTTATTTGTCTTATTTGTTTTTTAAATTTGGGATTATCAAATCTAAATTTTTCAATGTTAAAAAATAATTTTTTGAGCCATGTGTGGTGGTACACCTGAATCCCAGCTATTCAGAAGACCAAGACAGGAGGATCTCATATTTGAGGCCAGCCTAGGCAGTTTTAACAAGACCTGGCTCAGAATAAAATTAAAAAATGGCTGGGGATGTAACTCAGTGTGGACAACCTGAGTCAGTACCCAGCACTGGAAGGAAAGGAGAAAGGAACACATACACATGCACACACACACACTAGATTGCTTGTGGATTATTTGAGTTTCAAACAGGTTAGTTTCATTGTTGTTACCATTAGCTGGGTTTTGGATATTTGAAAATTATAACTTTTTTGTTGTTGTTCAAACTGTTCTGGGGAGTAGCTAGAACAGTTTTTTTTTTTTTTTTTTTTTGTAAATATTAATTTATGGAATGGTTCCCAGTCATTGTTGTAGCTCCAAAGTCAGGTGTTTCATTTATGCAGTAGCCTAATTTTCTCTGTTGCTTTATGAGAAGGCTTACTTATTCATGACATTGGACTTTTCTCAGGCCTAACAGACTTGGGGTGAATGCATCGATAAAGTAATAGGAAACACCAGTGATGTGGGACAGTCCTGTTTTGTTTCTAAATTTTCAGGATCTTGGATACTTTCACGTTTGATTGGTCCTTCTTAATTAAAAAAAACTATTTGTCTTAAGCACATTTATTTCTGTTTCATTAAAGATGTTTAGACACCCTTGTTTATTATTTTCAACATTCTTATTAGAGTTTAGAAAACTTGTTAAATTTATGTTTTGTTCATACGAATAGAAAGCAGTACCACATGTGAAAAATGAACTTGCTCTTTGCTATCACTGTCATTAAGATAATGTTTTGCATCAAAATAACTTTGAATTTCTTCCCTGACAAAATTATCAGATATTTGATTTTTAACAGTTATGAACACTGATTTGAAAAAAACTTACATAGTATGAATTTATTACTATGGATTATGTATCCTAGAATATTTTGTTGATAATAACTACGTATTATTCATGAATACTCTATCAGACCTATGAAATCTGCATCATCAAACTTGTTATTTGTGTCCTTACAATTCTAATGCATACTGGAAATTCTCTTAGGATTTCTGAAAATGTTCATGTATTGAATAGGATGGTTCCTTATGGTAATTGAAGATAAAAAAGCAGCCAGTGCAGGGGTAGGTTAGTAAAAAGAAGCATGCAAACCAGAGTGGATCTCTGTGAAAAGGGGCCAGGGCCATCTCTGTTGCCTTAATTGTAGATAGATATTCATTTTGACTATATGATGGCTCCAAATTTTGTTGCATTTGTTTTTTGCTTTTTTTTTTTTTTTTTCAAAGTACCAGTGGATGAAGTTGCATCTTTCTTTTTCTTCCATATTCTAGTTTTGTCTTCTCAACACATTGTGTTTGAGTTTCACAATATAATATTCACTTTTTTTTATGACTTTTTTTTTTCTTTGCTGTGCTCAGAATGGAACCCAGGGCCTTATGTATGCTAAGCAGGCACTTCACTGCTGAGCTACAGCCCGAGCCCCAATACAGTATTTTTTTGGATTTCTTTGGTCAAGAAAATATCTGTATAATGAATTTTGAGTCACTGATGATTACAATTTTATGGGAAATAATTTTTAACCTCATCCTGTAAGAATATTGGGAATATAGTTGTGATTATCTTTTATGCATTGGAGTGGAAAAATGATTAAAATTCTTAAAGTGTTTACACTTTAAGATTCTTTTTTTTTTCACTTTAAGATTCTTAAAATGCTATTACAATTAATTGTATCCTTAACATAAATTTCTGTTTTAAAAGTTTTATTTGTACGAGATGTCTGTGTATTGTACATTATTTTCAAATAATACTTAGAGTATTTTCATTATACATTTATTTGTTTTTCTGCATACTCTTCTTAAAGACATTCTTTTACTTAATTTCTTATATCAATTTCCTTGCAGTGTTTGAACGTCACTCAGTTATTAAAATACTACGGTCATGGTGCCAACTCTCCCATCTCACGTGATCTATTTACATATCTTTGCCCTGCATTGTTATATCAGATCGACAGCAGACTTTGTATTGAGCATTTTGACAAACTTTTAGTTGAAGATTTAAATAAGGATAAAAATCTGGTTCCCGAAGATAAGGCAAATGTAGGGGCATCAGGTAAGAAAGAGATTCAAGTTTTTTCTCCTTAATACTTGTGCTTATGTTTTAAGCTATAGTTGAATTGGAAAGCAATTCCAAATAGTTGGCTTCCTTTCTGTGTCAGACTTTAATATGTTTTAATCAGGTTTAGATACATGCATTTTTTAAAAAATTCGGAAAAGATAGGAGGATAGGACATTTTATTTCTTAGCATTATGGAGAATGGTTGCTATGGATGAAGAACTAGACTAAAAGGGGAAATATAGGTTTTGGTAAATGGATTCTTCTTTTTCTTTAGTATTTATTTTTTAGTTGTAGTTAGACAGAATACCTTTATTTTATTTATTTTTATGTGGTGCTGAGGATCTAACTCAGGACCTTGCACGTGCTAGGCGAGTGCTATACCACTGCGCCACAACCCCAGCCCCAAATAGATTCCTCTTGATAAGCAAATATAAATAATGGGACCCCTAAAGAAGTAATAAGGGAAGCTTGTATAGTTAAAATCCAGGAGGCTCTCAGAAATAAATATTGCTTTTAGAGAGCTTCAACCAGGGTAAAACCAATAGCATTTTTAAACTTCTTTTAGATTTTTTTCCTCATCATATCCATTTGTCTAGACAGCTCATCTGTGATGGTCACAGGTACTTATTTCTTAATGTTTGAAAACTTCTACATAAAAGTTGGTATGTCTTATTGGATCTTAAATGCTATTACAATTAATTCTTTCAAAAGAATCTGGAACTCTTCATTTTTTTTTCCTTTTTTCCTTCTATAACCAGTTATGAAGTCCTATTGAGTCTGTCTCTTATATATCTTTTTACTCCATCCATTTCATCATAACCTTAGTTCATAACTTCATTACCTTTCCAACCTGAGTTTTATCTTCCTTGCAAGGCATCCATAGCACTTAAAGTAGATTTGTCTTTGTAAAATGCAAATGATACTCTCTGACAGAAGTTTTCTTTTTATAGTTACTGCTGACATGTAGTTAATACGTCATTTTTACTTATCTAACACACACACACAAACACACACACAAGTCAGGCACTATTCTAAACTCAATTCATTTACTCCTCATAAAAGTTTTATAAGGTGGATAATATTATTTTTCCAATAGCATTTCCAAAATCTCAGAAATAGTAGGTGATAGTACTGGGATTCAAGCCTGTATAGTTTAGCCATTTTGCCATCCATGTGCTGAATGTGGTATGTGAATTGTTTTTTTCTCCTGATAAATTTCAGCAACAATCTTGAGTAAAGTATTTTGTGATTATTTCTTCTCTCTTTCTTTTGTAAACTATTTTGTGATTATTTCTTCTTCCTCCTCTCTCTTTTTATTTTGGTAGATAAGGAAACTGAGGTATAGAGAAGTAACTTGCCCTCAATTCTCAAGCCCACAGACCCTAAGGTTTGTCTGACAGAACTTCTAGACATCTAATCCCTATGCCATTTTCTTCACATTTATTTATATCTTTGTAAGTAAGCTTTCATTGGTGTGATCAAAGTACCTGACACAAACAACTTAGAGAGGAGAAGTTTATTTTTTGACTCATAATTTCAGAGGTTTCAGTCCATGGTTGGTTGACTCCATTGCTTTGGGCCTGGTGTGAGGCCGAACATCATGGTGGAGAGACATGGTAGAGGACAGCTGCTCAGTTCATGGCAACTATGAACTAGCAAGGGAGGAAGGGACCAGAGACAAGATTAAACCCTTCTAAGACATACCCCAGTGACCTCCTTCCTTCAGGTATGCCCAAACTGCTTACAGTTTCTATCTCCTCCCAGTAGTCCATTTAAATTTTAACCCACTAAATGGTTTAATATACCAATGAGGCTGAAGCCCTCATGATCCAGTCACTTCTCAAAAGCCTCACTTCTAGAGGTTGCTGCATTGGGGACCAAGTCTTCAACATGTGAGCTTTGGGGGACATTTCAGATCTAAACCGTAAGAACCTTTATGATTTTTTTTAACCATGTACTTTTTTACTGTTTAAATACTTTCCAAATTCTCATATAATACATATATATGCATATATATTATACTTCCTTGAGAGCATGGATTTGATATGATATGCTCTTTTTTTAATGCAAAACTGTAGTTTGCTGTATTGTCTCAAAGTTCAGATTCCTCTGCTTAGCCCACCAGCTTTCCATAATATGATACATGCCTCTCTACCTTTTCATCCTTCATCGTTCATTTCTTTCCTCTTTTCTCAGCTATAACTTTAACAAACTGCTAATAATCATACTGTTTTTCACTCATTCTTCTCTACCTGACTACTATATACGTCTGCAAATATTCAGCTTAGCATTAGCCTGTTTGGGCCAACTTAGCATCCTAAGCTTAGTCAGATTTCCTTCCTTGATACATCTTCAGATATTGCCATTGTAATACAAATCTTGAGGAATCTTAATAATTGCATTAATTTGTTTTGTTGAACTTTGGTTGCTTAAGGGCTGTCACTGGAAATTTAATCTATCCTTAGTGCCTCAGGTAAAGAGAATTTGGGATTAAAAAGTAAGCATTTATGTTGATTGAGTTAGTAAATGGTTTAATATTAGTCTTCAAGCTTTTAGTTATAATCCAGAAAAGACAGCTGTTGAAAATGCATCTTTGAAGACCATCAGATATATCAGTCAGCCTAAGTATACTTTGATAATAAAATGTTCTCAAGACAGATGGAATTTTCGTGAACAGTTTCACCATGTGCAAAACCATGATGAAATTACTGTGATCGTAGAATAAAGAACACGGTTCTGGTTGAAATGCCCAAGATGTAGAAGGCCTAGAGGGTAGGGTAGTATTTAAAGTAACTAAAATGATATAAGTGAATGTGGACTAAAAACTGAATTCTGGCATAATAAAGGTTTGAAAGGATAGAATTTAAAATAATTTCTTACTATAGGAATAAAACAGACATGTTTAGAAATATTAGATTTTAGTGTACAGGATTTTATTTAGGAGAGAGAGATTGGAGCTTTGAAAGAGTGCAAGTAGAAGGAGATGCCATCATTGCATAAAGATAAGCCTTGTAGGCACCTATGTTTTTATTTCTGGTTGTTTTTCAACAGGAAAACAACTTTAGAGTAGATAGGCTAATTATAATAAACTATACATTGGGACCTTACCATGTGCTGAACTAAACACTTTTTTAAATATATTCGTTCATTTGTTTCTTCTTGAGATGGAATTCACCATGTTGCCTAGGCTGGCATTGACTTCCTCATCTTGGTGGATCCTCCTCCCTCAGCCTTCTGAGTGGCTGGGATTTTATGCACACACAACTGCACCCAGCTCATTTAATTTGTTAAACGAGTGAGACAGGTGTTACTTCCACATTTGATGAATAGAAGAAGGCTTAGAGAAGTTAAGTAACTTGCCCTAGGTTACCAGCTGCCATGTTAGCAGAGCTGTATATAAACCATAGATTCTCAGTCTGGAGTTTATAATCCTTATCAGTGTCCTCTGTGCTGAAAAGTTTTACGTGAGAGTGCTTTGCTAGAATGTGACAGAGAAATGAGGAGAGTTATATGTCATATTTAGTAGCATTTTGACAGATAATGCACACATGGTAAAAGGTGATACTAAGTGTGGGTATAAATATTGTTGTAAGTATAGATTAGTCAGTGGAAAATAAGAAAACTCCAGAATGGTCTTCTGATGGCAGACAAACTGGGTTCAGTCTATTTAGTAGTATAAAGGCAGAAAATGTGGGTCTACAAACTAGATTTGAATCCTTGTCTTGGAAATAGATAAGATTTATCCTCTTTCTTGACTTCATGCTTGTCACTCTATAAATGAGTAAATACCTTAAGAGGCACAGTTAACTCTCAGTTGCTTATAAATTCTCACTGTGGCAAGAGAAAAGGGGAAGCTGAGATTAAACTTAATTAAAAATAGAATACATTTGTTTTGTACAGGGAAAAATGGAGACTGACAGGATTATCTCATCTAAAGTTAAAGCCAATAGCTTTTTTATTTGAAGACTTCTAAAGAATTCTAGTTGTTTTCACGTCTATGGATTATGACTTTTAATTAGAGTTGTCTGTGTTGTAATATTGCCATAATCCATATATTATAATGAAGCTGTTGACAGATGCTTAACTGTAGTAATATTGAAATTTACAGCTTATTCAATCTGAAAAGCCTAGAGGAAATTGTGCTTGTTTTAAAAACAAATATGTTACTAATAGTGAATATTGATTAGTTGTTTGCAGGTGGTTATTAGCATTGTCAGAAATGCAGCTTGAATTAATTATGTCTTGATAGATGTTAATAATTGTTAGAGAGAATGCCCTGCTAGTAATTATTTTTAATGACTGCTGCACCATTAAGAAAAGGTTAACTTGTTCTATATAAATCTGCCATAGTGACACAGCTACTACCTCATTAACTTTGTTCAAAGACTGCTGTAAACCAAATATGCTGTATACTGTGATGGTAGAAATCGTTTGTTTCACAAGATTGGCCCATTTAGTCATAGAGTTGACCCTAGCTTAATTACCAAGGGGGGTAGCAAATAGGCTGCTAAGCATTTTCTGCCAATTAAAATGCTGAAACAGTGTAGAAAACTGCCATCTTGCACATGCTTTGCACCAAGTTAATTAGAAAGTTTCCACAGACGAGCGCTTCTTTTTAAAAGAATGCATTTTCTCTCTTGATAATGAGAAAAAGAGTTAGTGAATAACTAAGCTTGAAGACCTTTAATGTTTTAAGCGACCTAATTTGCAGAATAAGTCAAGCTTGTTTCAGACGTTTTAGTGCTTTTCATCACATATCGTATCTTGGGTACAAATCAAGAAACATTTGCTAGTTGTATTTAATAGTATGCATATTGTAAGTTTGGTATTGGCTTCTTGAAAGACACCTTTTATTGGTTTTAGTTTAGTTTTGTTTTTTTCCTTTTATACCAAATTGTGACTGGGGGGAAAAACCCCAGCAAGTTAATTAGAAATCAAACAGTTTTATTACCTGTATTGTTTTTTCCTACACCTAGAGAATTCAGTTTATATAA